GGCGTATTAATCCTGGAACATAGCGTATTGAAGATTGTTTTCCACGGTGATTCGTTTCCCGCGGGCGCTCTTCTCGCGAGTTTTTCTGGCACAAGAAACTGTTATGTTTGGTTGGAAAACGGGACATGCACCTGCGCGTCTCTTATATTACACAGCATGCGTGTATGCTCGGGAAAAAAAAAGTGCGAGCCCGTTATTCCGTTGCTCGTGTCCCTCTCTCTCTCTCTCTCTCTCGTTAGCTGCCATTGGCGCGACTTTGCATCCGTTTTTTCGCAGACAGCGATGCCGAAGCGTTATATTCGAAAAATTCTTCCCCCATTACGAAACATCTTGACTTTCAAAGCCTTCGGCCACGAGGACTTTCTTTTGTTGAGCGTAGTGTCGCGTTGCACATTGAAACGCTACATACACACACACGCGTACTCTCTCTCTCTATCTCTCTCTCCCTCTCTCTCTCTCTCTCTCTCTCTTGGCATTGGATCCGTTCGCAACGTCGGCACAAATATCTCGCCATGCTGCATAAAGATGCAAAGAAAATTCTCCGTTCGTTTGTAGCTGTTGAGAAACGAATCGTATTCCTCCAATTTGAAATAGTACTCCCCTCGTGGCGGCTATTTCAATGTTAAGTGCAAATGCGTTTCGTAACGGAGGGTCGGATTAATTGCACATGGGACGTGACGCCTCGCGAAACTACGAGTGTAGAAAGTTGTTTTTGTTCAACGCTCTAAGTATTGTAATACCGATAAGCTCGCGCACTGGGTAATTCATTTACATGCGGCTCGATTACATCATAAAATGTGCGATAAATTGTAGGCGATAAAGACGCTGCAATATTCGCCTCGGCACCTTTATTAGCATTAGTTGGCTTTCCATCCAAGCGTTCCCAATGACAATTTATCAGTCAGCCGAACTAACTATTCTCACTCGGAAGCGAACTACTTAAAATATTATCAATATTATCGAGTTGCGTATATAAACGCGCGCATTATGTTTTAACGTATCAAAAACCGCATTCTCGTTGGCTTTGTTAGGGCACATGTGTGACGAATCGAAGCAGCTCTGCCGATTGCGTACGAGAGAGAGAGAGAGAGAGAGAGAGAGAGAGAGAGAGAGAGCGCGTTAATATTTTAAGTGCAAGAAAGGAAAGGAGAATAAATGGATGTAAAGTAATTTGCCAACGGTAATACTCGCTGGGTCATTGTCGCCTTTGAACAAAAATGTTGATGGTAACCGGCAAAAAAAAAAAATTGTAGGTCAGATAATTTACGAGACAGGTATTATCGCCATTGGGAAACAGTGTCATCGCAACTGTAGCCACCGCCAACGCCGCAAAATGCGCAGCAGACTATAATCCGCCGAGCGAATCAATTGACTTACAATAAATAATATAAAAAGCGCGTCGCTTATAGAATCTGTGATTATTGTTTAATGCATATCGGACGCGAAGCAAGCGAGTCGAGAAACGCACTCGAGCAGCGTGTAGAGCAGCGTGTAGAGCAGCGGGTA